TCCAGGTCCTGTTCCCCGGTCCTGTCCGTCGCCTCCTCTCGGGCGCGCCCGGTGTATGCGCCTTTGTGGGGGGGTTCTGTCACGCCCCGCTCCGTCAGCTCCCGATGTGTGCCACGCCCACCTCGTGTGATTCCCTGATTGTTCTCACCTGTGATTCGTTACCCTTAGCCTGTCTCTTGTATTTAGTCTAAGTCAGTGTACCCCAGATCTGTCATTGTATTGTCATGTGCAGTTCGTTGTCCGTCAGTCCGCTCCTAATAAACCCCGTCAGTCCTTATTTACGGCTCCGATTGCCTGCTTCCCGGCTCGCCGTCTCCGCCAGTGTGACAATCACGATGGTACACCTGTGACCCCAGACACCGGCTGCTCTGTGTTGTCCTGCCATCCGCTCTTTTTGTTTTGTTTTCTCTCCTCCCACCTCACCTGGGAACAGACAGCGGTGTGTCCCTCACGTCTCTCTTCTCTCACACCCAGGAGATGCCGACTCTCAATGCGGACGCTGACTGCCACCAGCCGCCCCAAACTTTCCTCTTCCGGTCGTCATTTTTATTTTTTAATAAAGTCTGCCTCACTGAGGCTTTAATCCAGTCACCTATAGCTGCCTCAATGTCTTTAAACTCATACCACACTACATTAAAACTGCCCACTGCCTGAAACAACTGGAATTGTGTTTTGAAACATAAATTACAGTGAAAGTACAAAGAAATTGATGGTTTCATGGTATGTGAGCCCAGATCCGAGGTCGGGCAGCAATTTTATACTGACCTCAGTATCTCCAGTTTACAGTGTGAATCCCCCAGTCCAGTAGAGAGCAGCTTCACTCCTGAATCCTGCAGGTCATTGTTGCTCAGGTCCAGGTCTCTCAGAGGGGAAGAATTTGATCTTAGAGCTGAAATCAACACTTCACAGTGTTGATCTATGAGATCACACCTATTCAGCCTGAAACAGAAAACACTTTAAGACACAGACATATACAGATCCTACACATTAGCTAAATACAAAACATTACAATAAGCATTTGTTTTCAATATAATTAGCAGCACAGCTTACATTTCAAAATGAATTATAGTCTGCAGAGTGTACTGTGTATCCTGGCAATTTGCTGCAGTCATATGATCACTAATTGTGAGTCAGTGCATCTTAGCTCAAAACTAGAGGTAAAAACATTAAGTACAAGCTGTAGCCAAAAATCACAGGATATATTGTAACACATGGACAGCAAGATGGACATGAACCCTCCCATAACAGTCAGACCAGTGCTTCCAGTGCAGTCCTCAGCCATCTTTCCGCCATGTGTCCCTACACTCGACACGCATCACTGAAAGGAGCTAATGCAGCAGCGACTGGCACTTGGATTCCTGATCCCATGAGTAAAATCCTTTTTGCCTTATATTGTTATATTTGGGAACATGTCAAATCACCAATTAGGTCAGGGTGTTATGACGATATTATCGGTAATCAGCGTAATCAGACAAGTATCCTGGTATCAATATCTGACAGTGACTAACTGGCGATTATCACCTTTGCTGGGGAAACGCGCTTAGGCTACATACAAGGCAAGATAACAGAAGGATTCATGATTTCCTTTCAGTTCAGCGCTCTAGCCTAAGTTTCTGAAGCAGTAAAAAAGAAACGTCGCTATTATAGTACAGAATTTCACTAGCATTGTCCCTTGCAGTAACCGTGCGTTCGCCATTCTTGTAAGTTCAGTATTGTTACATCACCAACTTCTATCTTCGAACCAGCACCCAGAATCTCAGCCATTCTAGTGCAGCTTTCTGGTGGGAATTTTGAGCTTCCCAACTCATATACATATATAAAACAAATAAATAAAAAATAATAAAATGGGGGATTCCTGTTTTGGATCACATATTTGGCTGTCTGTTTTCTGAAAATTGGAATGATTGTATTTTATGGTTTAAACATTTTGTCAGGACTATACCATACTTAGCTATGAGGAATGCATGTTTGCCAAGCTCAGGGGTTGAAAATATTACAATTATGGGATGTTTTTGTATATATTTCTCCAGACGTTTTCCACCCTGTTAGGGACATGTAAATGGTAATCAGAGTT